TTGGGGCGGTTCCCGGCGGAATATTTTGATAAAAAATTTTGAGCATGTTCCTCATCAAGTCTAGTTTATCCATACCAAACTTCAGCTCAAAATTCGATCGGGAAGGCAGTCAAATAATTCGTTGAAGTTAACTGCGCCAAATTATACATAGAAAAACGCAGTTAACTTCAACGAATTATTTGACTGCCTTCCCGGTCGAATTTTGACCTGAAATTTGGTATGGATAAACTAGACTTGACGAGGAACATGCTCAAAAAATTTCATCAAAAAATTCCACCTGAAACCACTCCAAACGGCGGTGTTCGGACGGCGTTCGTTCGGATCGGGAGGTGCTGGACCTGAGAATTTTCCAATATATATATATATATATATATATATATATATATATAAATCACCGCAGGGGCACGGGCACCCCCTAGCCCTAGGGTGGGTCCGCCCCTGCTTGTAGCCTGGATCTCCTTGATCTGGAGGAGGTGCATCACCACTAACTGGGACCATCGTAGATAATTACTGTCGTTGAGTTTATGACAAGTAATAACCATGCTTGTCACGGCGTCGCCTAGTCGCCGACTAGGCGTCCTGGCGCTAGGGACTGCTCGCCAGCTTCACTAGCCTCGCCAGATGAAGAGTAGTCGTGAATGGCGTCGTCTAGGCGTCGTCTAGGCGCTGTTTTGGCGTCGAAGTCCTCGCCTTTTTGGAAAGTCGGACTGCTATGGGGCAGGCCCAGAACCCAAAATAAAAATAGATTTAGGCTTTAATTAAAAGCAAGCCCATAGTAATCTTCCTTACCGACGATTCGTTGCCCAAAGTCGTATAGCCAAGCCAAGTCGCAGCCTCGTAGAGTCGTAGGAAGCAGACGAACAACTCCACGAAGAAAACAAAGTCGCAGGTATGGCCCTCCTTGTCCCTCGCTCGCGGAAGCAGAGTAGCAGGCGACTCCCTAGTTCCCCGTCCCCGATCTCTTCTTCTTGGCTTCATTTTTTTATCATTTTAAGTTGTGTATTTATATATATATATATAAAGGGTGTATTTTCATCTATCTATCAATATATGTGTATATATACACTTCTATATTACAGAATCAAGATATAATATGATATAATGATATACCCAACCTGTGAGACTTCTATTTTATTATATGTTCTAAATTATAAAATAATAAACTGTTAAAATAATCATAAAAACTGGTACATACTAATATATACTACGTACTCCCTCCGTCCCTTAAAACTTTACCATCTTTCCTTTTTGGGACGTCCCAAAAAACTTTGCCACTTTCCCTTTTAATCAATATTTTGTGGTTTCTGTTATTTCTCTCTCCTCTATACAAACCTCAACCACACAGTTTTTACTTTGTTACTCTCCGTGCCGGTCAACTTTGGCAAAGTTTTAAGGGACGGAGGTAGTATGATATATATTTTGCATAGTTTAATTATATATAATTATATACATAATTATATATATATAAATATATAGGCGACTAATCGCCTAATTGTCGCCTAGGCAGGCGCCTAATCGCCTAGGCGATATGGCAGTTGGCCGGCGTCGCGACTCGACTTACCGCCGTGACAAGTATGGTAATAACTGAATCTGAATGGTTAGGAATAGTGGCTATGCTTCCATTGACATTCTAGTTGCTGTCATCTGCGGTTAGGAGAGACTCTGAATGTTCAAATGTGATCGAGATAGATCCATCTTGCCCGATGATCATCCCATAGGATCCGAACTTAATCATATTAGAGAATCACTGGCTCTGATACCATCTAAATTACAAGAAAATAGAGAAATGTTTCTCTATTCTGATTATTAGTGTATATTCCATACAAGAAGATTACAGCTAGAGATTCAACCTAAGTAGTAATATAAGGAAGGAATCATGCTGATTAGAGTCTCCTAAGAATAGGGGATATTTAAAGATTCTGATATCTCTAAAATATCGCCTAATAAATAAAATATCGCAAAATCTAAGAGCATCTCCAATGCTACAATGTGCACGGTGCACATGTGGCATGTGAGATAACCACATAAATATTACTCCCTCCGTCCCTGAAAATACTTCCAACTTTCCCTTTTCGTCCGTCCCAAAAAGAACTTCCCTTTCCTTTTTTGGCAAAGAATTTGTGGTTCACAGCATTTCTCTCTCCTCTGCACAACTCTCCACCACACAATTTGGTAAGTTCTTCTCAATAGTTGACATTGTTAAAAAAATTACCAAAATTGAATAAAATCATTCAAATAAGGAGAGATCTGTTGTGTAACAGAAAAATAAAATCAACGGGGTAAACCGTTGCTCAAATAATCAACGATAAAAATACCATTGCCTAGAGCCAAAAGGTAAAACCAATTTTATTCCAAGATGAGCTAGAATCAACCCTGGCAAGGGGTATAAATAGCCTTCTAAGAGAAACCCTAATCAAGCCCAAATTAATTAAATCCTAATTAAGCCCATACTAACCCTACTAAGTACTCTACTAATAATAGGCCCAAACTAAAACATAACATTAATTTAATAATAATAAATAAACTTATAACGACAGCCCATAAGCAGCCCACGGAAGTGGGCCCAAGCCCGTCCCCGCCCCATGCTCTTCCTGCTCTCTATCAATCCATCCTCCTTCAAAATAACCTTGTCCTCAAGATTGAAATCTCGCAGATCGCGGACTGAAATTTCCAACCATAGAATAGACCGGAAAATATCCTTCATCTCCTTCCTGAACCTTTTCCTGGCCGGTTATTTCACGGTACTCATGTTGTTGGAGGTTCAACTCCTCATCCTCCTCGGCTATCATTACCCGCAACTGCGTAAAGGGGCAGTCATGCCCTGGTGTAAATGGCTTCTTACACCTAAAGCATAATCCTTTCGCCCTCAATTCTGCGAACTCCTTTGGCGGAAGACGAGTGAACTGAGAGCGTGTCGTAGGCTGCCCGGACAACCCTGAATTAGTCCCCGGAGGCTGTCCACTATCCTTCACAAAGCTGCCCCTTGATCCCTGTAAGCTGCCACCACTGGCGGTCAACGGAGGACCCGTGTTTGCCATTAAAACGCTGCTGGAACGTACCCCTGAAGGATTGTAATTCGGGCTACCACTTCCTCTACTTTGGACAGACAGATTATGCTCCACATCGCGAGCTAATTCCATGGCCGTCTCCAGGTTATCCGGCCTTAATAAGCGCAACGAACTTCGTATTTCTTCCTTAGGTCCACTCATGTAGTAGCCCAAATAATGATCGTCGGTCAATCCCGGAACTTGGCTAGCCAGTTGAACAAACAAGGTATTGTATTCCTCCACCGACCCCATTTGTTTGACGCCTGACGGCCGTTCAAACCTGTTTCCCTGATATCGGGAATCAAATCTGGCCACCAGGGCCTGCTTAAATTCCTCCCAGGTCATGCCAGGTTTGCGCGCCGTCAACCAAGTCACCCAATAGAGGGCAGCCTCTTCCATAGAAACCCTAGCTGCTGCCACTTTTCTGTCCGGTGGGATTCTGCTGAGTTCGAACTGCTCCTCAACTCTTGCCAACCACCCAATTGGGTCTTCGCCGTCGAACGAGGGGAACAGGGCGGTTGCTGCGCTGCGCAGTCCGCCGTCAACAGAGGATGCGGTCGCGACGTGTGCGGAGGAGACGCTTTCGACGGTCGCGGTCGGAGTCTTCTCCGGCGGCATCATGGACTTCGCGATCACTGCCAGGGAAGCCGCGATTTCCATAAGCTGGGTGTCCTTGTCCAATTTCTGACCTTGTGCATCAAGTTTCTGTCCTTGCACGTCAAGTTTTTGATTGATCAGGGCCTGTTCGGCCTCCAATTCTGATAAACGTTCGTTGGTTGAACTTGTCATTCCGGCGGGACGGGATCCGGCAAGTCGGACCAATTGTTGTGTAACAGAAAAATAAAATCAACAGGGTAAACCGTTGCCCAGATAATCAACGATAAAAATACCGTTGCCGAGAGCCAAAAGGCTAAAACCAATTTTATTCCAAGATGAGCTAGAATGAACCCTGACAAGGGGTATAAATAGCCTTCTAAGAGAAACCCTAATCAAGCCCAAATTAATTAAATCCTAATTAAGCCCATACTAACTCTATTAAGTACTCTACTAATAATAGGCCCAAACTAAAACATAACATTAATTTAATAATAATAAATAAACTTATAACGACAGCCCATAACCCGCCCATGGAAGTGGGCCCAAGCCCGTTCCCGCCCCATGCTCTTCCTGCTCTCTATCAAGATCATTTATTTACCAATATTTATGTGGTCATCTTTCATGCCACATGTGCACCGTGCACATTTTAGCATTGGAGATGCTCTAAGATATGCAATAATTAAAATAATCTACATAGATCTTTAGAGATCTTGGATATTATTTTTTTATTGCAATCTCTGAATTTTTGTTTTCCTTTTTAGTTGCTTTCTTTACTTTATTTTCCAAACTCTTTAAAGCCTATTTAAGGGATAGTTGAATGGAGGAAAAAACATGCAAGCTTTCAGTAAACACAGCCAACCCTTCCAAAGCTCAGTCTACCATCCCACTTGCCCGAAGGCCCATGACGAGATCTTGCACACAAGCTGCCTGTAAGAATAACCTTGTTCCAACCCTACCATCTAACCGCCTATTCAGACAATTCAATGTGGGGAACTAGTTGAATAAGGGTTCAATCACCGGCGGGGCTAGGGGAAGGAGGGGGAGAGGAAACGATCTATTCTGGGTTCTTAGTAAAAGGCATAGTCAACCATCCTGGGAAAGTACTTAAGTTCATATTTCTTAGTTTTCTAAAGGTTTGTAAAAAGATAATTCTAATCATACCCTTATTCAAAATGAACATGGATACAAAGTTTAGTGAGGGGCAAGGAAAAATAAAAATTAAAAATGTTTATATAGAAATAACAATGACTTTGGGTTGTTCTGCTAAGAAGTGTAATGTAATGTAATATAATAAAGATCGAGATGGATTGATAATTATTAAGCATAAGCAGCAGAAACTACTTCAAATATACTTACTTTCTGTTGCAATCCACACGAGAGGATAGGTCAACTGTTTTAATCTGCCATGCTAATTGGGAAGTTGCAGCTAACAAAAAGGCATAATATGGCCATCCTGATCCAGGCACCCATCCAACCAATGAGCAATTAAGCAACAACTGGAGCATCTCTTATTACAGAACTTCCACAACTTAATAAAAAGTGGGCTAATAAAAGGCAGGGTTGTTAGCTTAATATGTCCTTAACTATCATCAAATTCACAAATCTTATTTCTATTTCATTTTCTTTCATCCCGTTCTAACTTTAGACTTTTTTTCAAAAATAATGCTAAATAAAATTTATTTACAAAATTAGGGTCCAGTTAAATATATTTACCAAAATACTGCTCAAATAAACCTTGGTTAACTAAAATCGCCAATTCAATTGGCGACTTTCTCAAAAAATCGGAAACCCGCGCATGAAGCTAACGTCTAGCAAGTAGGGGAAAGCAGCAGAATAGGAAACTCGTGGGCCTATGTAAAATACAAAATCTCCTTTTTCTTTAATGTACTACTCCCTCCGTCTCATAGAAAGGTTCACACTTTCCTTTTTTGGACATCCCATATAAATGTTCTCATTTTCATTTTAGGAAACAATTAACAATCTTAAATGACAAATTAATCATTAAATATTAAAAATACGGAGTAATACTTTTGTAACATCACAGTTATCAACACTAATTCCATTATAGTAAATACTTATTAAAACTATTTCTCAAAATATACTCGAACTATCTTATTTAAATATTGTCTAAATAACCATGCCATTTTGCCATAGGAACCTTTCAATGGGACGGAAGTAGTATATCTTTTATATTTTTGTTCCAATTTTTACAAATAATATATCAAATTTTATAAAATTTTGTTTATCTTTCATATGACACCAATATTGCATGTATAAAGTTCTAAAAAAATCCAAAGATCATTTGGGGTGAAAAAGCTACTTGCAACTATGCACCATTAATAAACCTAATTCTCAACCAGTTTCCAATCTAGCACAGTCAATATATTCATCCAACATAGTTTTTTAATTAATTGCTTGCATTTTTTATTCTATGTCAACTTTTAACCAAAAACAGTTTACAAAAATCTGAAGATCTAATTACTAAAGTTTTGTAAACTCAATTTTTTTGTTAAACGGATCAAGAGTGTTAAACTTATAATCTCATGATTATTTTATACATCTTTCGGTTATTTTTTTAACAAAAGGCTTGAAGCAACAAAACATTAAACTCCAATTTTTTTTGCATTGAAATGTTTAACTTTTTAAATAAGGAGTTTATTTTTTTTTTGCATCGAAGTGTTCTACTTTTTGAATCAAACTCAAAAATTTGGCGTTCATTTTTTTAGCTTAAGGCCTTATCTTGAAAAAATAATTGAAGATGTATCAAATAATCATGAGATCTTAATTCTAACACCCGGATCTGCTTAAGAAAATTTTGACTTTAAAAAAACTTTAGCAATCAAATCTTCAGATTTTTGTAATTTTTTTGGCTAAAATTTGATGTAAAATGTAAAAAAAAATTAGGAAAACCATGTTGCGTGATGGTGCAAGATTGTAAGAAAAAACTGGATTAACGTGAAGAATACTGAGTTTTCATTTAAACATGTTGAGAATTAGGTTCATTGACGGTGTAAGGTTGCAAAGTAGCTTTTTGATCACTTATAGTCTTCATTTTTTTTAAAATTTTATATATGAAATATTGGTGTCAAATGAAAGATCACAAAAAATTATGAAATTTGATGTATATTTTGTAAAAATTAGAGCAAAATTATAAAAGTTATGACATTTTCAAGAAAAAAGAGATTTTTTGAATGAACCTTACCAGCTACTCTTCCATATCATTCTGCCAACTTGCTTCGTATGCACACCGTATTTTTTAGGAGAGTCACCACTCCATTTGGCGGTTTTGCCTAACCATAGTTTGGCCCGGCAGTATTTTAGTATATATTTTTAACCCGACCCTAATTTCGTAATTAATTTATTTTCTAGCATTATTCTCGAAAAAACTCCTACCTTTAAGTTGGAAAACCTGTAATGCTTAATTTGTTTTAGAGAAAATGGGCAAACAAGCCCTTGAACTATTAGTAATTTTGTAATCCAGCCCTTGAACAAAAAGACCTTGCAACTACGCCCCTCAACTCATTGAAATCAAGCGATTGATTCCTTTTCTACCTGTTGGTGCCGGTAACACGTAAACTTTCTTGTGAGATGTTACCGGCAACGGTAGGTAAAAAGGACTTGATTGCTTTATTTCAATGGGTCGATAGGTGTATTTGCAAGCTCTTCCAGTTCAGAGGTCTGATTGCAGAATCGCTAATAACTTGAGGGCGTACTTGCCCCTTTTCTCTTTTTTATACAAACCATATTTCTACTATACAATTAAAAAACTACAAGTGGTGAAATTTATATCACTCATAATAAATCACATTATAGCGCATAACATATGAAGGATAACTAGAAATATGAAATTGTAACATAAAACTATAAAAGAATAGTTCATAGTTTCTTTTGAAGTATTTGACATGAATAGGACTAAAATATTGGAAAAATTCTAAAATAAGACCGTGTCTTATTTATTCCCAAAATAGGACTGTCCATTCCTATTCTACCCTTCCCACATTTAATGCTTTCTCTTTCTTCTTATGTACGCACTTCCTTTTTTTTCGACACATCTCTTCTCTCTCCTCCCCCATCATTCATATCTTCTTTTTTTCTGCCGACCCATCTCTTCTCTCCCATCCCTCTCCCTCAATCATTCACCTTCTCTCCTCCATTCTCTGCATCTAATTTTTTCAAGGTTCCAGCAGATTTAGATCCCAACCGAACTAAGCAGAAGAGCAATGGTCATGGAAATATGCTAGAGGCGAAGCTAGAAACGAGAGCTAGAGGGGCAGCATTAAAATATATCCTATACATCTACTTTGAAAATTCCGGCAAAGAGGGCGCTGGCACCGGTTGCCCCGACAAGCCCCGGCCTGGTAAGTTTTTCCCTTCTCCTGTCCCCTCCTTCATCTTCCACCTCTCTTTTCTTCTTTGTGATTTTTTCTTACTCTCAATTAATTATTTTATTTACTTTGGAAATTTTGTATTTCAAAACTTGAATGACCAGTGATTGAAAAAACCTGGATCCGATATTTATTCATTAATTTAAATTAATTTATTTTAAAGTTAAAAATTAATCAATTTGCAACCGAAAATGGCACTTTTATGGAATTACACCTTGTATAATGCCATGTTTTTTACCTTTTTGTAAAATAATGCCCATTTTACATGGCTTTTATAGCCATTTTATATCTATAAGTGCCATGTTTTATATCTATAAGTGCCATATTTTTATATGTTAATAATGCCATTGTTATTCTTATATGTCAATACTTAGTATTTCATCACTTTTGTGAAGATAGCAATCTAGCAAATTAGAGACCTGCAACCAACTGGCCGGAATGCGGTGGTGGGAGCGCAGCGGCTCAAGAAGATGCAAGCTGCAGACGGCGGCAGTAGCGGCGGTGGCGGCCAGCGCTGGAGACGGCGGCAGTGGCGGCGGCGGTGGCCGACGCTGGAGACAGCACCGCCGTCGGAGATGATGGTGGTTCGGCACTGGATCTTGTTCTCGCATGTGGACTGCATCTCTTTAATTTTTTTTAATTTTTTTTGTTCTTTGAAATGCAGAGGATTAATTACTTCAGATTTGTTCGGCACTGGATCTTGTTTGATACTTCTATTATTAATTAAAAAGTCAGATATGTTCATTAAGGGTAGTTTTGTCAAAACAAATCTTTTTACTCCTATGAAACATTAAGGTCCTATTGATTGCATTTTTATCCTCTTTTAGTCCTAGTTAGGGGATTATCTCTTTCTTTTGTAAGAAATAATTTTTTACATAATACATATTAGTGATTGAATTACTTTAGAAACTTCTACAAAAACATAAATTTATGAACTAGTTAAGTTAACTGACAAGTTAGAGTATCATTTTATATCAATTTTTATAAATTTTGTTAGCAAATTTTAAGTTATGGATTATTATATAAGATTAATATTTTAAGATTTGATTAAAGTTCTTTCTAATTCATATGAAAAAATAGAATTAACTAATTAATAAAAATTACATAATTTAATTCAAGTATATAAAAGTATTGAGATTGATATAAATTTGTAATTTTGAAAAATCACAAGGGGAGGAGTAATTGTTATAAAAGACTGATGGAGCATGTGGGTCCAGATCCCATGACCCACATACTCAGAAGACTAAGAGGAAACACTGTTGTCACCTAGTGGGTCCTCCGTCGGCCAGATGGTCCTCCGTCGGCCAGATAGACATCAACTCAGAATATGGTCCAAAAGCCAAGAGAACCAGGGTGCCCCCATCGGTCGGGTCTCCGTCGGTCAGGGCTCCGTCGGCCTAGGAAGCACGGAAACGCCGGGCAGGGGGAGGTTTCCGTCTCGGAAACGTTTCGGAAACGCGAAACGCCGGGAAACGGCCGGAAACTCCAAGAAAACGCCCGGAAACGTTTCTGAGAGGTTGGGCTGTTGGGCCGGTTTAGGAAACGTTTCGGAAACGTGGCTGGGCTTGGGCCAACGCGTTTCCGCAGAAAGAAAAAAAAACGGGCTTCAATCGACAATCGCTTATCTCTGCGCGCGCGAAGACCCGACAACTGCGTCGAAGAAGGGTTATCTGCGTCTGCGAAAGGGAAGAGCGGAAGACTGCGAACGAGAGTCAGGGAGTGCTGCGCCGCCGCTGGTTCGCTATTCACAGGACCGGACAGGACGGAAGAACGGGAGAAGAAAAGGGTTTGGTACTTTGGTTCTCTTCTATTTCAATTGCTTCCCAGTTCTAGACTTCTACTCTTCTAGTAAGTACCAACCCTTTATTTATCCTCAAATATGGAACATACTTCACAAGTTAGTGATGGTGCCACTGGTTCAGGGAGTTCTTCTGTTGGTGTTGAAATTTGTAGAAATTTGTTACCAAATTAGGTAAAAGTGTTGATACAGGAGGGACATGGAGATTCCAATGTAATATCTGTAATAGCATAAAACAAGGATCTTATTCTAGAGTAAGAGCTCACTAGCTTAAAATTTCAAAACAAGGAATTGCTATATGCAATAAGGTCCAACCTAATCATATTCGTGAGATGAAAAGGTTAGAAGAAGAAGTTGAGAAAATCAAAAAAAAATCTGCACCTAAAGATGTTCCTTTACCTTCAGCGGGATCACAAACGGATTGGATAAGTACTACTAGTTTATCTAATAAAAGAAAAGCTAGTAGTAGTCCGTTGGAGAAAGCTTTTGATATGGATGCTAGAGGGAGATTAGATGAAGAAATTGCCAGGATGTTTTTCACTGGATGGTTGTCATTTAATCTTGCTAGGAATCCATATTAAGTAAGAGCTTTTTCCTTTGCTGCCAATCATAATTTAGGAGGTTATGTCCCCGGGTTATAATAAATTAAGAACTTCTTTACTTCAACAAGAGAAGCCAAATGTTGAGAGGTTATTACAACCACTCAAAGCTACTTGGCCAGAAAGAGGAGTGACAGTTGCAACTAATGGTTGGAGTGATCCGCAACGAAGACCTATAATTAACTTTATGGCAACTTCTGGAAGTGGTCCCATGTTTCTGAAAGCAGTGAATTGTATGGGTGAATTTAAATCCAAAGAATTCATTGCTAATTTGATGAAAGAAGTAATTGATGAGATAGGTCATCAAAATGTGGTGCAGGTAATCATGCTGCGAATTGCAAAGGTGCAGGAGAAATCATTGAAGATGTGCATCCCCACATCTATTGGACACCTTGTGTAGTGCATACTTTAAATCTTGCCTTAAAGAACATATGTGCTGCAAAGAATGTGGAGAATAACACAGAAGTTTATGATAAATGCCATTGGATCACTGAAATCCATGGTGATGCTGTTCACATAAAAAATTTCATCATGAATCATACTATGATGTTATCCATGTTCAACAAATTCATCTCCCTTAAATTAATTTCTGTGGCGGACACACGTTTTGCTTCTATAATTGTGATGCTTAAGAGGTTTAAGCTTATTAGACGTGGTCTGAAGGCTATGGTGTTGAGTGATGAATGGGCATCATATCGTGAGGATGACCAAGGCAAAGCAAGGTTTGTGAGGGAGAAGATTTTAAGTGAGTATTGGTGGGAGCAAATTGATTATATTCTTGCTTTCTCGGATCCCATCTATAGTATGATTCGAGCATGTGATACTGATAGGGCGTGCCTCCATTTGGTATATGAGATGTGGGATTCCATGATTGAAAAAGTCAAAGTGGAAATCTATAAGCATGAAGGAAAGTCTCTCGATGAGTATAGTGCTTTCTACCAAGTAGTATACAATATTCTTGTGGCACGTTGGGCAAAGAGTTCTACACCGCTTCACTACTTAACCCATTCATTGAACCCAAGGTATCATTATTAGTTAAACATGATATATTATTTTTTTATATATTTATTTATAAAAGTTTGGTTTGTTATTATTTTTGTAATAGGTTTTATAGTGAAGTTTGGCTTGCTGCGGATCCCGCTAGGGTCCCTCCTCATAGGGATTACGATATGGTTTTGGAGGAGTTTGGTTCGTTTTCACTTAAGATAGAGCCTTTTGCAGATATTACATCTCTTTCAAAGAGGGGAAACACGGATCCTAAAAGTTGGTGGGCTAACTTTGGTGCTCAAACACCAAACCTACAAACGCTCGCTTTTAGAGTTCTAGATCAGCCTACATCTTCATCATCATGTGAACGTAATTGGAGTACTTACTCTTTTATCCATTCACTTAGGCGGAACAAGTTAACTCCTGAGCGTGCCGAAGATTTGGTGTTTGTGCACAACAACCTTCGCCTCTTGTCAAGGAGTTCTGAGCAATACGCAGATGAGAAGACCAAGATGTGGGATGTTGGAGGAGATGAGTTCGGCAATTTGGAAGAAATAGGCTATTTGGAGTTTGCTAATTTATCCTTAGATGAGCCGGAATTGGAGAGAGTGTTTATCACTGAATGAAACATTTACGTAGTGCTTTTTAAATTTTATTTATTGTGCTTGTAGAATGGATTATAACAAGGATGTATGTTTTGTTTAATTATTTTATGGGTTGTTAGACATATGCATTACTTATATTACTAAAAAAATTAATTTCTAGTTCGATGTTTCCTTGCTGTACCCGTTTCCTAATATTTTGAGTTTAGCGTTTCCCCGTTCCCGTTTCCGTCCCGGTGCTACTTAGCCGTCGGCCACAGAGACCTCGAATAGCTAGATTTCATATTTAGCCAATCTACATACTTTGTATTCGGCCCAGTAATGGCCTCATTGTAAACGGGCCTCCCAAGCCCAAGACTTGAGCCCAACCCATATTTTCCCTATAAATACTCCCATTGTGGGTAGTTGTAAGGGGTTCACAAATACATGAATTGCATATTTATTGCACTTCTCTCTAGCTCTCACTTCTCTCTAAGAGTTAATACTCTATCAAAGACGAAGTTTGAGCCCTTTATTAATACTCCATCCGTCCCGAAATAATCGTCCTGTTTTGACCTTCACACAGATTAAGAAAACAAAGTTGACTTCACACTGAAGCGACACTGTTTGGCACTGTAGCGACACTGTTTGGCACTGTTTTGCACTGTTTGACACTGTTTTGTATAGATTTGTTTACCAAATAAGGAAAGGAGACAATTATTTCGGGACGGACCGAAAAGGAAAGCAGGACAATTATTTCGGGACGGAGGGAGTAAAAGTTAAAGAATAAGATAGATTTGTGAATTTCATGATAGTGAGGGATATAATAGGGTAATAAACCTAAAAGGTGCAAAAAAGATAAATACCAATATCAGCATGGTACCCACACAGAGCTAGACTACTGGTGCAAGCGAATCCAAACCCAGCAATCCACTCTTTTGTTGAATCCCCAAATCTTAAGGCTGTAGATTTGACCCCCACCCTAACATCGTCCTCTTTGTCCTGGAACAAAATATACTCAAGTATTTCAGTGCAAAAGAGCCGCCCCCTTAATTTTCATATTTTTTGGGGATAAGGAGTCAATAAAAGCCAATGTCTTATATGAATTGATAATTTTCAGAACCCTATCAACTAATGAGCACGGGAAATAAGCCAATAAAGGCAAATTTTTGTCATCATCACATGATCTTTGAAAGGAAGACTGAGAGCGAGTGCACACAGTCTCAGAGTGTGCAAGGATATTTGAAAGTTGTAGAAACATTGCTGTCAAATCGTTAATAGTATTGTGAAACGTTTGATCAACTTTTGAATTGTTATTCATAAATTAGTTTGTATAATACGATTGAGAAGCACATTTTATTAACAAGAAGCTTTGACAACAAAATCCATACCTAGAAGGAGAAAGATCAAATGTTTGGAAATGAGTTACTAAATTTAAATATATTATCACTGAAGATGTAGAAAAATTCTAAACTAATTTCATCTATTAATTCAAAGCCTGAAATACCATCATAGTAAACCTATCCCATACCCGATCGTTGCCCATTTCCGAACTGCTTCATTATTACACATAATGTTTCCTAGTGTTGCTAAGCAAGCCAAGAAATGTTACTGCATATGTAAGTTAACTTTTCTCCATTATGATATAAAAACTTCAAACTCTAGATCCAATTTTGGATGATAATCATACCTGATGGGCATATATAGTGTCATAGACAAGGGTCCAAAACACACCAGATAGATAAAGTGGGAGCACAACAGCAGGATCAAGACTATCTTTAATCGCAGCCCAACCTAATAATGCTCCCCAATTAAAGGTTAGTCCCAAGAAAGCTTGAGGCTGCCCATTAACAGTTTAGAGATCAGCAAAGAATAAACATAACAGTTCATGACAAACAGGGAGGCAAAGAAAGGATTGAGTATTCTTACCCAAAATGTCAACCTCTTCATGAGGGGATAAGAGAAAACCAATAACAATGAAGAAGCTCCTAAAAGGCGGCTACATGAACAGTTTTATTACAATAAATGAGCAATATGTTTACAAAGAAGGCAGCAGTGATCTAACAAAGATAAAAAACCAGAAGTTATAAGTCATAGACTCATAGCTAATGATGACTTTAAACATTGATCAAATATGATAGAGTGTATTTGACGACGTCTGCAACTTACCAGATGTGCCACACCATGACCATGTGTTAGTGTCGTGACTAAATTTTCTCTAAGTGATTAACATTGCCATTTAGGACATCCTGCCTTTCCTATTACTAAAAAAAATCTAACTTCTTTAGGTATTTTCATTTAAAAATTTACCAAGGATATTTTCTAGGAATTTTATCAATCCGGGACCTGAAAGATAGACGAACTATCAATTCGGGACCTGAAAGATGAAATGTATCGGTATAGGACCCGAATGATTGAAAACTATCAATTTAGGACCTAAGTTTTCATAAATTTTATTATTATTTTTATTTTAAAAAATTTAAATAGTATTTAGTTTTATTAAACTAATAAACTTTTGTGAAGAAAATTTCACCAAATATTAGCAATGGAATTAATAAAAAATTAAATAAATCAAAACCTATGAAATGTTAGGTCCTAGATTGACAGTTTTTCATCTTTCTAGTCCTATACGGATACATTTCATCTTTCGGGTCCCGAATTGATAATTCTTCTATCTTTCAGGTCCCAGATTGATAAAATTCCTATTTTTATATGCATAACTCTTGTGCGAGTAATAAAAGTCCTACATTGCCAGTTGCTAAATCTTCTCTTAGTAGTACCGGCCCCAAGGTAGTCAAAGTCGCGAGCCGAACTCAAGGCGCTAGAGTACTTATATCGCATGAGGCGCAAGGCGCAAAAAAGCGCTTGCGTGACTCACGTCAAGCACAAAAGCGCATTATTTAGAAAATATTACGTACATTAATCTGGAGTGATCAAATATGACATATTGAACATCATATTGAACTATGTATTGAAAATCATTCTTTTCAATAACAAAGTCACGATTCACCAAATTAAATCATGGTTTACAAAAACATAACACCAAGCAGGGTCTGTTTTTGCTGATTTTGCAATTTGAGGACCATGGGCGACAAAAATTATGTAGTGTATCAAACTAATAGATGAGTTAGATTATATGAAGTCTTTATACAATGAAAATATGAAATGATTATAAAAAGATAGAGTTATAGAACGGTAGTCAGGTACATATAATATGTTTGAGTTGTATAGAAATATAAGAAGAAAAGATAACTATAAAGTATGCATTGATGACTGAAAGTGATAAAAGTAAAGAAAGAAGACAGAAGGAAAGAATCAAATGAAAGGATTAATAAGAAGATGACAACATAAATGAAAACTACAAGCTGAAAAACAAAGAAGAAAGAACATGGGAAGATGATAATTAAGAAGACACCCTATGGGTTTCTGGTTTTTGTCAGTTGATCTTTGAATGTGGTTTTAGCGCTGAGCAGGTTGCGCGAGTAGAGAACAAAGCATAGGAGAGTAACAATAAAGTCATGATTGAAGACTTATACTGTTACTGGTTTCTGGTTTTTGTCGGTTGATCTTTGAATGTTGTTTTAGCGCTGAGCAGGTTGCGCGAGTAGAGCACAAAGCATAGGAGAGTAACAATAAAGTCATGATTGAAGACTTGTACTGCCAGTAACAAGGGTTTTACATAGGTTTAAGTTGTTTTGACTTATTATATGGATGGGCTAAATCTTATTTTAAATATGGGCTTAATGTTTAGACTAGGATCAAACAGAAAAATAAGCTGACAAGCCTTTCCCAGACCAGGTGACTTGAGCGTGCGCTTTTTTGTGCTTTTACGCTTGTCGCGCCTCACTCGCACCTCACTCAGGTGGTAGCGCAGGCACTGACCCTCATATGTGCCTCGCCTGGTGCGCTTAACGCCCAGGCGCTCACTTTTGACTACACTGACGGGTCCACTTGATTTAATTTATACTTATGTCTTGGGACCTACTCATGTCAAATCAATTGAAGGTTATCATTATGATGTTATTTTTGTTGATCGCAGCACCAAATACAATTGGTTTTTTACTTTCATCCATAAACCCGAGGTCACTAATATTTTTCAGCAATTTAAAAAGATGGTCGAAATTTTTTCCAACGCAATATCAAAATGTTTTCAATGTGGGAGAATATATTACCTTCGGTAAATTCCTCACTTTTCATGGTATCTCATCTTTTTACTCCTTGCACTCCAGAATACAATGGATTCGCCAAAAGACAACGTAACATAGTTGAGACAAGTATCACTTTACTTCGCCATGACTCTATGCCTCATAAAAATTGGTGTTATGCATTTCTCACCACACATATCTCATTAACCGGCAACCTGAGGCGTCTCAAATTTTGTTCTCCTTTTGAAAAACTTTTCCTATGATACCCCACTACACGAACCTTGCTATTTTTGGGTGTCAATACTTTATGTGGTTACATTTTTACACTTCTCATAGGTTAGAACTACACTCCAAACCTTGTGCGTTTCTCATGTAACTGAAAAATTGCCCATCATTGTCTTAATCCAACTGCTAACCGGAACTATGTAAGTAGACATGTGATCAATATGTCCATCTTCCCCTTCTCTAATGACTCCTCACCCACTATCAACTTACCCAAAAACATTGACAAATGGCACTGGCCATACATCTCTTCCCTTTTCAGGTAATCACGTGACATGGGCATCTCCTACCATTCATCACTGTTGGGGAAAATTCTCTTGGTAAGTCACTTCCTGCCTCTCGTATTCACTCGACAAAAATGAGACCTCAAAACCAACCCATCAGCCCAAACCACTTCTAATTACTTATCGACGTTAGCCCAAACCCACTCATAGTGGGCAAATTGCTCCACTCCCTCCACCTGGCGCAGTTACACCCACATCCGACCCAAATGTTGACTGCTCAGCCCAACACACTAGTGTACCTGAACTACTCCAGCCCCCCTTAATTACCCATTTACCCTTTGAACCTCAATGTAAACCTACACATCCTATGACACATAGACCACCATAAACAAGCTAATCTCATTGCCACAAACTCATTATCTAGCCATACTTTTCCTAGTTGTGCATCCTTGACTTTACAGGGTGTGCTTTATTCAACAACTTACTTGGGAATTAGTTCCTCTTCATCTGAACCACAATATTGTGGGCTACATATGGATTTATCACACTCAAATATAAACTGGATGGCACTCTAGATTGATTTAAGGCTCTTTTGATAGCACAGGGATTTCATAAACATCATGGGGTTGATTACTCTAACACTTTCAGTTCGGTGACTAAACCTGTCACTATTTAGGTTGTTCTTACGATTGCTTTCTCACAAGATCTGTAATTTTTTCCTCAAACGATCCTCGTCGCTGGTTAATATCTGTCATGAAGGTTTTGAGTGTCTTTGACGTGATGTTATCATTCCCCATCATCCTGGATACTGATACCAAATTGTTAAAGGCTTTGATACAGGATCTAGTCCAAAGTTGATGATTTTGAGAAAGAGAAAAATGTGAATCTATGGTGCCTGAAATATTAATTGAGTGTCAACGTTGTTGGCAAGGAGTTGTCTCAGGTTCCACCGTGCGTTAAATAGAAAGTAATATTCCAAAGCTTCTTATATTATTCCAACTAATAAGCCTTAAATAAGCAAAAGACAAGTTCCTAAAACAATGATAGGAAAGAAGTCATCATTATCATCATCATTACCCCACTGCCACAAAGGCTCCCACCTACGATGGGGTAAGGGGGTCGGATGCAAACAGCCTTATCCCTGTACTAAAGAAGTGCAGACAATATAGTGACTCATTCTGCTTTATTCCATCATACATATTCTCAAGCCAAAAAATAGTGAGTCTTTGGCTCCATTGCAAATGATGGAAATAATGATAGCAAAGAAGTCATCATCATCATTACCCCAGTGCCGCAAAGGCTCCCACCTATGGTGGGGTAAGGGGGGTTCGGATGTACGCATTCTTAGCCCTATACTAAAGCACAGAGAGACTATTTCCAGATGACACATAGTGAAAATCGCGTCAAATTGCATGGACTGACAAAGAAACGCAGACAATTTAGTGAGCCATTTTGCTTTATTCTATCATATTCCCAAGCCAAAAAATAGTGAGTCTTTGGCTCCATTGGAAATGATAGGAAAGAAGTAAATAAGGAAATTCATGAGCTCATAAACTAATACTTGACTAAAATAAGAAAAGCCTAGTATTCATGAGCTCATAAATGAGGATCAATCAAGTTGGTCCCTTCTTAAGTTGGTCCCTTCTTTAGCCGTCTCTGGTGGATTCTACCAAACCAACCCATATCGCTTCTTCTTATTGAGGTCTAGCACCGACCCTTTGAGTCACTATGTAACACTCTTGTAGAGGTCGAGCATCAATATGCCGAAGTCATACACTTATGAGATAAGTGTAGACTTTGAGTAGCAAGCTTTTGATCAAGTGCTCATGTTGCTTTTGCTACCAATTCCTCCGATGAATCAAGTGCTCTTTCTTCAGACGAGTATGCCAAATTTATTTGCTACCAAGAATCACTAAAGCATTCCTCTGTCCCTACTTCGGTAGTTGTTAATTCAGGTATTTCAAACACATGTCTTGTTTCCTCATCCTTAAAATGGGTCATCGACTCAGGTGCCACAGATCATATGACCGGTAATCCTAGTCTATTCTCATCATTTCATTCATATTTACCTACTTCTAATGTCACTTTAGCTGATGGATCTACCTCACTTGTTCTTGGATCCGGTACTGTTGTCTCAGCTTCTACATTACCATTATCACCTGTTTTGAGTCTTACTAATTTTGCATTTAATCTGCTTTCCATCAGTAAAATCACACGTACTCTTAATTGTTCTGTAACATTTTTTCCTGGATATTGTGTGTTTCAGGATCTGTTGACAAAGCAGACTATTGGTAAAGGACATGAGTCGACTGGTCTTTATATTTTGGATACATCAATCACAAAAGGTA